CTGAGTCATGGGTGGCTAAGGGGTCATCTGAAATCGTGTTGTTGTAGCATGTAGTTGCGCTGGTTGTTACTCCAGATGTAAGCAGGTCCCCATCATTTTCATCAGCAGATCCACCTAATGAGCCGACGAGAGACTCCAAAGCCGACATGGTACTGCCGCCTGTAGGGGGGATATGCGTTAGTCCACGACCACCTGTACAGCATGCCAAGGTTAGTAATTTACCCCAACAACCCTTATAACCATGGCCTTTCCCAGTGATTAATACAAAACACAGAAATATTATATATATTACTTACCTAGTAAGATATATGGAGCTCTGCAATATATATATGGTAACCTATACCTTTCCAATAATGACATGTGTTCTTATCCACTTATATACACATCTCTGAAAAATATAACTAAACACTGTTAAACAAGATCTGTTGTTTCTAATAATATAAACATGAGACCTAAAATATTAGACTTCTCTATTATTATTATTGTTTATAGCCATTGTATAGATCATAAATCCAAAATTTAGTTGAAAACCAAAGATGTATGAAAATCTTGCTGATAAATTTCCAGTGAATAGCACCTGTTTGTGAGGCATCTTAATAGTTGTAATGTTGGTTATATCCATAGGCATCAAATTAAAATCTTTAGGAATTCATAAAAAAAAAAACAAATTTCAAAAAGTTGCTCAAGTTTATTGTACTTGTGTGAACACTCCTTACAACTTACAATAAGGAAGATACAAGCAGTAAAGCTATGAGATCAACCTCCGGCAAACAGATTTTATCTCCACAAGTCTGAGGCGAGTCAGTGAATTAACGTCAGCGGCCTGACACTCCTAGAAAATCCACTTGTCAATGATGCAACTGCAAGAGGAAACGCTAAACATAAGGAAAGGAGAGGAGTAACAAGAGGCACTTTGAGACACTAATAAGATGCCAGACATTCTTTATTGGGCAAGTTGTTCTAATGATTCATGAGTCAAGCAGCACTATTCAGTAATGCTCACAAAAATAACTATTATGCAAGAAATGAACTTTTCTTTGCCCAATACAAGGCTTTTATGCTAAAAGTCTTAAAAGTCAGTTCTTTTTAGTATTTTTATTCTAAACTAACAATTTAGCATGTACTGTAATTACATATTTGTAATTACAGGAGCAGAGCTATGCCCATGGTGTACCATCTTCAGTACAGTTATGGTAGATGCTCACTATCAACATAATAACTAATTAGTCCAAATAATACAAGTTTTCATCCACTCACATAGGTAACATTTTCTTAAAGTGTCCATTCAGTTATACAATGAGACTGCATAACAGTTTGAAATGCAATGTTTATTAACAGTTGTTTTTATGTTACAGCATAATTAATAAATAATTATTATAATTGCAAATTCTTACTGATCAGTGCATGTTTTAAACCTTCCCTATATGCTGATAAGATCACAAAAAATTGTGGTTTATAGTATTGCATGAAAGTGTTATAATGAATATGTGTAGTATTACATTACATTAATGAAATGGCAGACATTTAGAGAAAGAAATGAAACTTGAGAGAAAATATATATACGTGATACATTCAGGAACCTCCCCCTCCCCCCCCCCCCCCCAAAAAAAAAAAAAATAAAAAAGTTAATTGTGAAAGCTGAGAAGGACAGCACAGTGATTATGAAAAACTTGAACAATAAATGTAAGTGAAGATGACTCAATAACATAAAACATCATAACTTTTTAGATTTAGAAAGGACATAGGATTAGATTTAGAAAGGACATAGGAAAGTATTGGTTTGGAAATAGGGTAGTTGATGAGTGGAACAGTCTACCTAGTTGGGTTATTGAGGCTGGGACTTTGAGTAGTTTCAAATTTAGGTTGGATAAGTACATGAGTGAGAGGGGTTGGATTTGAGTGGGACTTGCACATCGGAGCTTGTTTCTTGGGTGGCATTGAAAATTGGGTTGGTCAAATGTTTGTTAGTGGGATGAATTGTGAAGGACCTGCCTAGTATGGGCCAACAGGCCTGCTGCAGTGTTCCTCCTTTCTTATGTTCTTATTATGAAGAATGAATAGTGTACTATATCCTCTCTACCCATCCAAGTGACTGAAGGAATGAATACATTGAACTGTGCCCTCACTGCCCAGCCAAGTGACTGAAGGAATGAATACATTGAACTGTACCCTCACTATCAGACAAGTGACAGAAGGAAAAAAAAAAAAAAAAAGGAAAAAGACAAAAACTAAAAAAAAAAAAAAAAAAAAAAAAAAAACTGTTTTAGCCAAATCCTCCCAATGAAGATAAAACTATACTTTTTTTTTTTTATACTTTCTTTAATGATAAAATCTAACTGTAAATTAAACTCCCAAGATATTGGACTTTAGTGAGTTCCCAAGATACCAGATTTTGGCGAGTTCCCAAAATATCAAACTTTAGTAAGTTCCCATGACACTGGACTTTATTAAGTTCTCAGATACCGACTTTGGTGAGTTCCCAAGACTGATTCTATTATATAATTTCAGAAAAAATGAAAAAAAAAATAGAGAAAAGAATAAGCACTACTGGTGCAGTCTGTGAAAACAAGGAGCAAAACCAAACATTGAATTACTTAAAAATTAAGAGTAAAAAAATTTTTTTATTTAAGAGTTGAAAAACTACCCCAAAATTATATTTGTAACATAAGCAACAAAAATTATGGTGAATCATAAAGAATAATTACCTTTGTTATTTTTACTTAAAGAATAGTAGTACAAAGTTGATCAGACAAACACAAGGGCATCTGCTGGTACAGAATTCAGTTAACCAAGGATATTTTGCTGATGGATAACCCGCAAACACACCAGATTCAATCATTCAATATTTTTCTGGCTCTACTCTTTTCCATGCCTGAATCTTTTTTTTTTTTTTATTATTATTTTGGTCATAATTTCTTATGATTTTCAATATGAAGTATTTAAGAATGATATAATAAGAGATATGATCTATTTAAAACACAGAATTACTCAAAAGATGAACAAAGATTTGTTGCTCACAGATAATTTTAATTATTTATGGTTTTTATATTCTAGGATCATACACTCTCCCCCCACCCCCTGGAGGGATGACTGTACTCCCTTACAACTAACTTGGCACAACTCTTTCCAGTCAAAATTTACCTTTAATTAATCACAGCTTAATGGTACAACATCTCATTTTGTTTTAAATTTATTTTATATTTAGAGATGTAAGGATTTTACATTTATAAAAATGAATTCTGAGCACTGATAAATGCTTTTAAATGTAAAGATATTCAAAAGGATTCATCTAGAATTGTATCACACCTAGTCCTACATAATACGTACAGTATGATCCAGGTGCTTATTTATGGCCAAAATAGTGAGTTATTACTCTGTTGTTATGGTGTGCAAGTGCCAGGTAGGGTATGTGCATATAATTTAGTTCAATTACCAGCCAAAACAGAGGTGCTGGGACAGCAGTGATGATGGCCAGACTCTGGTGACAACCCAAGGAGATCCCTGCCGTAAGTAACATAATGGTGAGGCCTGCTGGAAGAACCTTCAACCTAGAGGAGCAGGGGCCAAATTTCTGGAGGAAGGACAGTTGTAAAGAACACTAAGAAAGGCCATAGCAGAGATTACACCAATGGAGACAGACTCCATAAACAGACATTCAAGACAGAAATAAAGCCAGTAGGATGAAAACTCCTGAACAAAAATTAAGCACCAGATGAGGGATTGAAAGATAAGAGGAAGTCCCTGATGGCTGGAAGACGACAAGCCCTGTCCAGGGATACAGCCAGAACTGATGGGAAAGAATCAAAGCTAAGGAAGTAGCAAATGTATGCCAATGTGTAGCAAATGTGTGCAGCACATCTTTACCTAGGAGCCTCCTCATGAGAGCTAGGGATTGAGGCAGCAGCATAACTATTGCAGTGGAAGGAAGCTGGAGAACAATACCAGAAAAAAAGAGCATTCCAATGGGAAGAGGGAACACTAACTTCATGGGCAGTGGTGGGAAGTTGTTGATGTAGGACCCTGTGATCGAATTAAGACTAACTAGTACAAGAGTCTGAGGTGCACCCTGTACCCTGAGGTAGAGAGACCCATGAAGAAGTGTCCCTAGAATGCAGAGGGTGCTGGCAGGGGTTGACCGAGTGAGAGGGGTGACCATTGACTGAATGTCTAGCAAGGCATAGAGTAGAGAAAGTCAAACCCTATATACCTGTAACCACCAATGGCATGAATGGTTGGGCATCATCCATCTGCAGCACCTTTTCTAAAGCCACACAATTTTTTTATGACCAGTACCTACATGGTGCTCACCATAGGAGTCGTTACCTCGTAAAGGGCTAAGTGATAGTGGAGGCTCCAATCTGAAGACAAGCAAAAGTGAGAGCCAAAATGATGTTTCAAGAAATAAAAAAAGAAAAGCTACATCTCAGAGTCCTCAAACACCTGTGGGATGGCCAAGTAAAAAGTAGCTGATAGAAGATAAGGCTAGCATAACTCTAAATGATTCAGAAGCATAATCAGTCCAGGAAATATGTCCCTACAACAAACGTGTGAGTTCTTGGGGACACCATTGGAGTCAACTGGGGAAAAAACCCAGTTCCCATCATGGGCAAGCTAGTCCCACAGAGGATGAAAATACTTAACAGCTCTCAAAAACAGGAGATTGTCATTACTATTATTGTCCAGCATGGTCACTGCTGGCTGTTTGGTTGTGACAAAGTGGAGAGTTTGGTCCTGACATGAAGTCAAGGGTTGAATCCCAAAATTAGGCCCTGGGGCCCATCCAAACCAGTTTTTGACGAGGACCCAGAGGAAGATGAGGGATACACAGCAATTACTAATGAATCTCAGGAGAAAGGCAAGTCCTCTTGGAAAGCCTTGACAATGTCCATAGATGCCAGATGTCAAAACATGCTTCCTTAACATCTACAGATGATCCAGGAAGCACAATGGAAGAGCCATCCCATGTAAGAAATGGACATCATTCTCAGAAAGACATGACACAAATTCAGAAGTGGACAATATCCCCAAAGCTGCCCAGATGGAGAGCCAGCAGAATTCATCACCAGTAGAGTATGTAATGAGGTGGAAAAAATTTGGGTGATGACCTGATCAAGTACGTATACCCTAGCTGGTACCTATGGTGCCACA